TCAAAGAGTTTCTACAATAAGAGCTGGGAATACACAGCGGTTCAATTGAAAAACAAGACTCTTTTGTCCAGATTCTTAGCTTGCTAGCGTTCAAAATAATTTCAAAAAAAATGAAATCCCTCGAAGAATTCCATTGTTTTTCAGTAGGATTTTGTGGGATTCTGGTAGGGTATCTTGGGATTCCATTAAAAGTGGAATTCTGGATTCTGGTTATATAATCAGATGACAATTATTCAAAAACTATACATGGGATTTAATTCATACTAATGGGGAAGGTTAAGGGGTGGCTGCGGAACTCGCTGCGCTCGTCTCGCAGAGGTACACCCCTAAATTCCGCAACAATCCACTTATTTGTACTTGAACAATAACTAATTATATAAAGTTAGAATTTGTAAGATTATCCACTTTATGTCAATTTGCCTTTCAACAGGAATTAGTAATATTAGTTTACCAAGCTAGTAACATAATGTAACAAATTATTCAAGTACAAACGAGTGGATTGTTGCGGAACTTATGGGTGGACCTCTGCGGGACGAGCGCAGCGAGTTCCGCAGCCATCTATTCACCAATATGTTGTTCAAGTACGATACTAACCTGACTCACTCAAATGTCAGTTATTCTCATTAATTCAAAAATTACACCTTTCAGGTTAGTGGCTTATTTGAATAGTTCAACAGTATATTGGTAAATAGATAGCTGCGGAACTCGCTGCGCTCGTCCCGCAGAGGTGCACCCAAAAGTTCCGCAATAATCCACTTATTCGTACTTGAACAATAACTTATTAAAGTCAAAATTTGTAAAATTATTTACTTTTTGTCAATTTGCCTTTCATCAGGAATTAGTAATGTTACTTTACCAAACTAGTAACATAATGTGACAAGTTATTCAAGTACAAACGAGTGGATTGTGCGGAACTTATGGGTGGACCTCGCTGCGCTCGTCTCGCAGCCATCTATTCATCATTATGTTGTTTAAGTATAATACTAACTTGATTCTATCAGTTGTGAGTTTTCTCATTGGTTCAAAAACTACATTTAGATGAATGTCTTACTTAAATAGTTCAACAGTATATTGATGAGTAGATGGCTGCGGAACTCGCTGCGCTCGTCCCGCAGAGGTCTACCCATAAGTTCCGCAATAATCCACTTATTTGTACAGGGTGTTTTTATATAATATATTAACACCCCACCTACGGCCTTTATCTTTACAGGTAGAAGAAAGGTGTAAATACAAAAAATGTACAGTTTTGGTTGAATTTTCAGAAACCATGGTCAGAAATAAAAATTAAATATCAGAAATGTGAAATTTTGCATGCTTCCAACTTTTTTAAATGGGATGCCCATATAGTTTTGGAATCGGGAAATAGTGCTCTTCAAGAATATAGAACCATCCCATTTGGAAAAAGTTGAAAGCATACAACATTTCACATTTCTGACATTCAATTTTTCTTTCTGACCATGGATACCAAAATTGTAGCCAATACTGTACGACTTCTGTATTTACACCTTTCAAGGCTGTAGGTGGTGTGTCATTATATAAAAAAAAAACCCTGTACATGGGAACAGATTCATACTAACAGGGATGGTTGAAGGGGCTGTCAGAAACAGGATGATACCAGTGGCGTACACTCATTCGACCTACGAAAATATACAAAATTATAATAATCAGATGACAATTATTCAAAAATTATTGTAAATGGGATTAAATTCCACATTTTTCAAAGACGTTTACCCTTTGGGATTAGATATAGTTATACCACAAGCAAGATATTTTTGGTAATTGAATAATAATTAATTGTCATCTTCAAGCCTAAGTAGTATCATCCTTTATCAAGTTTTCTCCTTATCGGTGTTTGCCTTATCAATATTAACTTTCCACATAATCAAAAATGCACTGAGCAAATAGAAAAAAATGAGTTCAAAAATATTATTATCATTATAACGATATACCCGCAGCAAAAATATGCTAAATAGCTATTATAAAGGTGGTTAACCTTTTTGATAAAAGTGCTGTTTTCCACGCCTGAAGCCTACGCCAAGCCGAGTGTGAACAATAAAAATAATATAAAGCATTTTTTCAGCGAGTCAATTTTAATTACAATGAATTTTCCAAATGAAGTATCATCTATAAAATTGTCCCATACAATCAGAAAGTGACCTGTATTAGTAGGATATTTAAATAAATGAAACCCCAATTACGTGAGGTGCGTATTTGCAATTTAATTAACTGACTTTGAGGTGTTAAATGGTCAAGATTGAATGATCAAAAGTCCAAACAAAACAATATCGAGTCCCTACAAGCATCTGTTAATAAATAAAGGGTGTTTCCAGCTTTGAGAAGAGGACAGATGTTCGTCCACGTGCCAAAAGGGCCTATAAACACCCCAGCTGGTGGCCCGAAATAGTATCATTGAAATAATTCTGATACATCTGTCCCACAGACATGAATGCTCAATTGAATCAAGTAGAAAGGGGAAATAATTAGATTGCGGTGCACTTTCTAAGTATTTGGGAAACAAAGTATCCTATAACATGGTATGCAAAACCACGCATTTTGATTTAATGCCAAAACATTATTATAAATAGCTATAAGTAAACAAATTTTATAACACATGTGAATTATTTTGGGTGATTCTGATTCAGTTTAACTCAAAATTTGAATCGAGTTAAAAGGTATGAGTAGTCACTTGCACATTTTGTGTTTTAAGTTTAAGATAAGGCAAGTACAACCTCATGAAAAGCACATATTATTTACTTGGCATTAAATTGCAAATTCATCAACCCATTTGCATTATCATTTCAATACATGAATGATTCATCGTGGTTATGGAGCAAAGACGACACCACCTTGTTTTATTTGTTTATTACTCAAGTTCTTTAGTACCATCCAAAGTTGCTACTTGGCACGTCTATTTTCAAATAAATATCAGATGACGCATACACGCTAAATTTGTTGAAAACGCTAAACAGTTAGCTGGAATCTCCTTTGAATGACGGACGTGTGTGTTTTTTTCGTATCTTAATCATACATGGATTTAATTTTGATGTGTAGTTTTAACAATGGCTGTGAGATATATGAAAAAGTAAGTAAGAAAGTTTGATAATGCTGTCCTTAGAAAAATATTAGAAAGCAAAACTTTATATAAGCAGCCTTGTGAGTGAAAAATGCATTCCTATGCAAATCGTATCACATTTATATACCATGTGATAATAATGAATTTTAACTTGCTTTCTACTAATTGAACTAAAATTCCGTGTTATACTCATCTCGAAAGGAGAGCAAGTTTTTCAAATAATTAGATACATTGTGTTCACTAATTAACACCAAAGCTGACCTTTTAAAGAACCATTAAAGATAACAAATGATTCTTTTAGTCTTCAGGTCATTGGATTCCAGGTCATGTTTTGGATTTTTTGAATTACCAAAAGTTATAGGATTTGTTCTACATTGTGTGGATATAGCTTGGGTGTCTTAATTTGAAAAACGGCCTATATGGAGGGAGACGAACATACCTTTCACGATTTACCTCCAACGCGTATTAATAAAGTTCAAATTTTAATTATTATCGGCTCTTGATTCACTTCTGGTAAGCATTCAATAGTTGTTGTTTTCACAATTTTTCTATAATGCAATCAAGAGCCAGGAATAGACATTAAATTCAATTTAATATAATAACAAACTACTCGCTAGTAATTTACACTAAACTTTTTATTGAATTATGCACAAATACACGAAATCCATTATCGAAATATAATGTCAAAGCGTGTGCCTGCTTAGCAGCCGATTTTAACGATTTCAAAACGGTTTAATAATGGCATTAAATTAGTTGCACGTGACCTTTTGTATAGCAAGCCTTTGTCTGCAACGTAGCCTAGTTTCAGGAAATTCAATGGTCAAATAATGAAAATTTGAAAAAACAGTTACCTAACAATTTATTTATTGAATTGAAAAAAGCTTGGGTGGTATCTTGCTTGGATTCTCATTACATCCATAAATTACCCTGCACGATGCACACATTGCTATTAATATTTATAATGCCAATAAGTGCGGGGCATTTTACCCAGGCAGAGCTAGGGAATAATTGACGTAATTTGACGTATGTACCATGCCGCCTTTGCCTTTACTCAAAGATACACGAAGTAATGACTTTCCAACCTGGAACTCATTATCAATAATATGGTAAAAATTCAGCAATAATAACGGAAAAATCTGAGAATAGCACAAAAAGTTAAACCGATTAAAATTCTCGTTGTCGTACTGTATTATGAGGTTTTGAAACACAATGGCCGAATAAACTGTGGGAATTTTTTCGGTTACACAATAACTTATGAGGTACTGCACCGCCGATACGATTTATTATTTCAGTACCACGTACCGATATGTCGATTTATAACGATTAGGATTTCTAAATTTTGCCTTAGATGGCTCTATTGTGATCATGGATTGATTTTACTGTATAGCTTTAGAACTTAAATCAGCCTCAAAGTAGTTTGCAATTTGCAAATCAAGAGGGGTAAAACAAACGGTCTATATTGGTACTGCCTATATAACTTCCAGTACCATTTGTGCCCGAGACTAGGGTGGAAATTTGGAAATGTCCATATTTTCACAAAAACCCTTTTTTCGATGAGTCACAATTATCAATTTTACCCCCTTAAACCACCCCCAAAGTAATTTGCAAGTCAAGTGATGAGGTTCCCTAAACAGTGTAATTTTTGTAAGTCGGAATTTTGTCGCTTTTTGTTAGTTTTTTGAAAGAAGTTCCAGAAGAAAATTCACTCCTTTTTACTGGGAATTACCCACAATTGGAATTTCGAAGAGAGAAGGCGAAAAGAAATCGAAAAGGTCTTTTGGCAATTTCACTTTTGCCTTGAAAATCCACATTTTTTATTGGGGATTCCCTAGAATTGAAAATTGACTTCAATGATAAAGCCGAGGATAAAACCACCTAAAACATGTTTTCGTTATTAATTCACTAACCATAGTCCTTTTTGTTTCAGGAGTCAATCGAAGGCATCCTACCTGGCCTCGAGACGAGACCGAGAACTGATAGTCTCCGACTCAGAAACTGGCAGCTACAAGCGTACAATGTCGCCCAACGGACACGCGCTGGTCCCCGAACCCATCAGCGAACCTCAGAAGACCAACAGCCGCGAAACCGTCTGGCCTCTGATCCGGCAAAGTCGCAACAACAACAGCGTGCTGCGCAAGTCTTCGATGAAAGACAAACAGCAATGTGATAAAAACAATTTGTCTAACGGTACGAGTACGGTGCTTCCGGATGTTTTACCTGTAAACGCCAAAATGATCCCTAGAAGTCCTCAGACGTGTAGCAGGCCTCAGCATCTGAGTTTTGCTTCTTTGAACGGAGCTGTGAAGAAATCGCCACCCCAGTCACCTTCAAAAAGTCCTGCAAGAAGCTCACCGTTTGCACCTTTACGTACAACAGCTCTCTCTTCTCCTCTAAATCTAAGACCTTCGCCTCCCACCACTTCAACTCCTGTAAGATCCTCTCCGCAAACTCCTCCACACATCAAACCGTCTCTATCACCAAGTGGTTCTCCTATAATTAAGCTGTCGCCTTTGAGAACCTCTCCTAATAGTTCCTCAACTGCAACCAAACCAATTGAAGGTTTGCAAATGATGCAAAGGACTGAAGTGGTTTTGCGGGTTAACACCACGACCAGCGACGCCTCATCGCAAACCGAAAAAGACGAACTTCCGCCCACGCCTCTGCCTACCAGGAAAAAACTGCAAGAGGAAATCGAGTGCGAAAAACTATCGCAGGATTTTGTTAACCATTTACCCACTTCTGATAGACTGAAAGATCTCTTAGGTAATAATATCAAGATTTAGTTATTATTGTTATTATTATTATTTTTAGTTCCTGGACCCGAACATAAAAAGCCAACGGATTACGTGCACGGCTTGTTCCGAGTCGACGTTACGCTCAGACCGAGATCCGCCAATTCGCCGTTTAGAAGTCGAAATAATACGCCGAGCAGTAGCCCGCCTCCGTCTTTGAATGTCAAGACAACCAAATTAAGGTACGTTTTATATTCATTTGGTTAATTTGGTTGATAAAGTTTCGGTTGCAGTTTACCGCCAGAATCGCCGACCAGTCCTCTGTCGTGTTCGTCAGTTTACTTTACCACGTCGGAACCCAAGGCGAAATTCCTAACTAGGTTTAGTCAAGACATGAACCAGTGTCACCCTGTTCAGGATACCAAAGATTTGAGTCAAAAAAAGGTAACTATAGATTTCCAAATTCCGCAAGTAGACTTTCTTGCATAGAACTCATTACAAAATGAGTTCAAAATTTAATTCATTTTCAGGTGAGAAGTTTTACCATGGAAAAAATCCTCCAAATTCATTTGAGAGCCTCAAATTCACTTCCAATTTAGTTTTCCATAAGAAAGAAACATTAATTCATAAATCCTGAAAGTTTCAAGTCACTGTGATCATTAGAAGTACTTTGAAGTAGTGATATTTGCAGATTTTAATCATGTTTGTATGCAACGTGAGAAAAAGCTTCCAAATTTAGTTTTAAGCTTCAAATTAACTTGGAATACACTTTTCCACAAAGAGGAAACTTCAATTTCCAAATCCTAAAAGTTTGGAGTCTCTCTGAATGCTTCAAGTATTTTTCAGAAGTTTCCAAATGTGATTAACAGAAGATTTGTTTACATCTAAATAAGAAAAAAAATCATAATTCCAGTTCTCAGCCTGAGATCCATTCGCGGTTTGTTTTGTTCGATAAAAAGACCCTCTACTCAATAAATCCTGAAAGTTTGAAGTGCCTCTTATTGCTTGAAATATTTTTCAGAACTATTCAGAACCTTCCAAAGGAGATTTAAATTGGCTATAACTTTGATGTTTCTGAACCGATTTCAATGAATCATGTCTTATTCAATAGACAAATGAATTATCTACAAAGAGGTTTTATTAATAATTTCGATACTTATCATGTTTTCGCGTTATCAGCCCCCAAAATCCTAGGAAATATTTTTCATCTATATTTTAAATTCTACGTTTAGGAGGAACTTGTTGGTCGTCTGGATAAAAAACTGGAAGTGCTACGAGGCGAAGCCCTGATCGTATCAGACGAGTGCAAAATCAACGACGAACTGGGTATAAGCGTAGAAAACTACATCAATAGAGTGGCCAGTCCGCAGGAGGTGGCCAAATTCCGACTGCACGTGGAGGAAGTAGGCAAAATAACCAGTTTGCTGTTGGGTTTGAGTGGTAGACTGGCCAGGGCCGAGAACGCTCTCATGACTATGGAGGAAGCAGATCCAGAAAGGGTAAATATTAATTCAGAAAAATCACTTTCTATAATTTATACCTCGGTTTATACTTATGCATATGCATGCAACAGCCTATATGAATTCCCAAGAACAAAGAATTCTAATTCTTATTCCTATAGGCTGTTGCATGCATATGCTGAATTCCATAAGAAGATGCCGCCTACACAGTTTTTATACTATTCAAAATTCGGATTGACTTTATAAAAACTATACTAACAATTTTTTCATAGGTAATTTTGGAATCTAAACGTGACAAACTCCAAGACCAGCTCGAAGAAGCCAAGAAACTCAAAGAGTGCATCGATAAACGCAGCATCCACGTCTCCAACATCCTTTACAAGTATCTTAATTCAGAAGAGTACGCGGATTATGATCATTTCATCAACATGAAAGCCAAATTGATCATGGACTCAAAGGAGATCAACGACAAAATTAAACTGGGCGAAGAACAACTTGGTGCCCTCAAGGAAACTTTGATCATAACCGACTGATTGGTGCAAAGGACAATTTAATTTAGATTTTAATTTTATTATTTATATTTGTAACGTAGGGTCCACCTCGCAATTATTATTTTGTGTCGGCATATATGCCTCTTACTGTTTAAAGAAAAACGGATAAGATGGTGCAAAGCCATATATTAATAAAGTGTTTTATTTTTTGGAGAACTACTCCTTTTATTAAAACAAATAGGCTGTTATATTGTGTGCATTTTTTTGTATTTTAAGCTTAAAATAATAATGGCAATTAATGGCTGATTTACAGTGCAAAGAATAGGTCTGTTTTTGCAGGAAACTAGTTTGTTTGTGATTTCTGCAGAAACAGACCTAATATTGCCAGTGTTAAAACATCTTCCTACCAAGTATTTAAATTAGTGTAGTGTATAGGATTTGAGCAGTCTAAATTCTGATTATTTTTATTTTGTAAATAAGTCGCTGTTATTGTTATATAAAGCGCGGAAAAAAAATCTCCAAAAACGGTGCTCCTGAACATTGACGTTGTTATTATTGTGATTTTCTTAGTGTATGTTAAACCATAATTATTATTATTGTATTTTTTTTTTTGTTTATCGCCTAGAATTCTCCTATTAGTAAATTTGTAATTTTTTCCTCTTCAGCTTTATGCAGTGCTTGCAAATAATTCAATAAAAATGTCTGTAATGAATTTTTGTAATCAATTAGGCCCAGTTGTACCTAAAGTTCAAAATAAAATACACCCTGTATGATGATATTACCTACCATTGTCCCTCCTTAGTAACTAAGGCAATTGTGTACAATATATTGGCAGAGGTTACATAAGCACACAGGATTTTCGTATAAATTCCAAGCCTCATGCAATCAGTCTTCCCTTATTAAAAAAAATAAATAAATAAGTACTCGTGACTCATGATTATTTAAGTAATATAATTTAGTAAGTACTATAGGCTATAGGTAATTAATTACCCCCAATGTTGTGCTCATGTTTTTTATAATTGTTTGTCTGTTATCTAAACTACTTTATACAGGGTGTCCCCGTTCAACTGGTCAAAAATGCTAGGGTATTATAGAGGAACCATGGAGAAGTAGCTGAGATAGGACACAGATGGTCGGAAGTGCGTCGTTTCCAAAATACAGGGTGTTGAAATTTTACAAAAAAATCGAATTTTTTCCTCTGTATTGAAAACTCTTTTAGCGATTTTAATAATGACATTTTCAGGATTCAAATGATAGGTCAAATTGGTGGTGATGCAACTTTTTAAGGAATTGCAGTTGATTTGATTTGACCAGGGACGGACTTGCAACACATGTGTGTTAAATTTTTTGAAGAAAAAATTGTACGCCACTGACTATCGGTGTCCTTAAATAATTATTATTGTACACAAAAACTTACTGAAATGTGGCCCTTCTCCGTCAGTTCTCCCATCAGGTAGGTACTGTAATGTAATAATTAAAAATAAATCTAATTAAAACTAAGTTTCATCTATATAGATATTAATAATTAGGACCTTAGCAGGTACTTTCTATGCTCTAGATAATTAGGTAGGTCTGTTTCAGTTTCTGTAGAAATCACAAACCAGTCGGAGTGAATTTCATTGGTTGAAACTAGTTTTCTGACTGTTTTCAACCAATGAAATTCGCACTAATCGCTCTGACTGGTTTGTGATTTCTGCAGAAACAGACCTATCAGAAAGTACCTGCTAGGTACCAACCAGACAGTTACTTATCAGTTGGTCCATAATTAGGCCCTAATTCAAATAAAAACGCCGAAAAGAAAAACTTTTCGAACTACGACCTGCGCCATTATCCGGTTTATTTTTGAATGAAATAATAAACATAAACAACTATCTACTTTGGAACTACTCCAATATTGGTATCTCTTCTTAACTTGGCCCTTTACAAAGAGACAGAACATAGAAGTCAGGATGTTTTCTTTAAATTTTGCTTAGGATTATGGGTAAAAGACCGTACTAGGTACTACTAGGCCAACCTGTAGATTTATAATTTTGGCTAATTTTTCACTATATTATAAAAGTTTATGAAAAATGGCACAAATAAAAAGCTTGGAACAATTTTCCCGATTTAATTTCAAGTAGGATTTAAATTAAAAACCCAAACAAAATTCGTTGTTTTGACGGAATTGCGCACTACTGTTTTCTACTCTAGGGCAAGATTGAGTGTTTTATAAGGGCCAAATTATGGACCAACTGGTGTGTTTGGTTGTTACCTAGCAGGTACTTTCTATGCACTAGAGAATGGAAAGTACCTGCTAGGTAACAACCAGACGTTCACCAGTCAGTCGATAATTTGGCTCTTACGGATGATATAAGTTCTTACTTTTCCTAACACATGCGAAAAGTGCTTTCCGTGCGGTAAAGTATCACTTTTCGCATCCGTTATTAAAACGAACAATTCAAACTTGGCCCTAGACAACGATTTAGTGCTGTCTTCTATTGTTGGTGCTGAAACTACAAACAGGTACCATAAGTTTGAGATATTTTTACTTTTTAAGTTATAATTTCATATTTTTTAAAGGTAAAAATCAACCAAAAAGGGCTAATTGTAGCTGTCAAAGGGCACACTTAATCGTATTTCAATATAGAGATGAAACTAGTTGTGAAGATCTATTTTCAATTATCATAGTACCTATACCTGGAGAACTATGACGGAGAAGGGCCACTTTTCAGGTAAGTTTATATTGAAAAAACCCTTTTGCAAAATGCAGAAATCCTTGGTAGGTAGCTAGTCCAAATATTTACATATTTAAATTAAGTTTTAAGAAGTAATACTAATTGTGTTTTTCGCGTTTTGTATTTTTATACCTACAGTATGAAACAAACAAACATCATTTATAAATATTACTTTTATTAATTAGGGTAACGGACCAATTAAGGACCTATTGATAAGTGTTTTCTCTTACATTTGTCTCACTTTATTATTGTTAATTTGTTAAATACTGTAGGTACATGGTATGTATTTACATACCTTTTACTTTTACATACCTACATTCTACAACTACTGTTCTAGAAAAGAATTCCAAGTTTTAGATTTCCTCAAGGATTTACTTTAGACAGATTTATTTTATTTTCTTACGAGCGTGCGGTAAACTGCACCTTACCGCACTTATTTGCAAGTGGAAAAAAGCACTTTACCGTAGGTACCCTATGCGATGAAGTAGACGTTGGAAAAATAGACATTTGATTCTCGCAATGGTGATTTTAGGAGGTTTTCTCAAGTTTTTCTTTGCAATAACATACAAAATACTTTTCAATTTGGTTTCCAAATCTTGAAATCAAGTTCCAATTTATTTTGCCTTATAAAAAACATATTCGGTTATAAATGCGGAAAGTTTAGTCATTTTGATATACTTCCAGGCTCGCTTCCAGGATTCTCTCAATAGCAATTTTTTGGGGGTTTTCTCAAGTTTATTTCAACGAATCATGAAGAATTTTCCTCTACGACTTATGGTTACCGAGCTATGGCCGCTTGAAGTTTCAATTTTTATAATTTTCAGATTTCTCTGATGTGTTGAAGGTATACCTTCAACACATTTAAAAACCATAGTCAAAATTTCAAAATCTCGGTACGTTATCGGGTAGAGTTCTCGTTTGAGGCCTTAGCCCGGAAAAAAATCCAGAAGAAAATTCCAAAAATGTTTGGGGACATTTTTCAACTTGCATGGTCTCCTTAAAAAATTGAGACTTGCGCAGAGCCGCAGAACAGACAAACAGAAAAAAACTAAATATAAACAATAAAGCACTATTTACAAATAGGTATGTAACTATAGGTAGGTACAGGGTATTTTATTATATTTGGCACCATACCTACAGCCTTTACTATTCAAGATAGAAAAAAAATTCAAATACAAAACTTTACAGATTTTTTTCTATATTTTCTCTTAACGTTATCAGAAAAAACAAAATCGCATCGGAAAATGGAGAAACGTAGGCAACATCGACTTTTTTTAATGGAACACCCTGTATATTATGCGATAAAATGAAAGATCTTTTCTTCTTGATTCCCAAATATATATAAATTTATCACATTTGGGTGAGCCGTTTTTGATAAATTTTAGCTTAAATTATAAATAAAATCAAAAGAAATTTTATAAAGATTTAAATGTCTTGCCATCCTTATGAAATTTCTGTGCAAATAATTCATAATTTGAGTTAAAATATATCAAAAACGGCTCACCCAAATGTCATCAATATATATATATTTGGAATCAGGAACAAAAAATCTTTCATTTTATCGCAAAATATACAGGGTGTTTCATTTAAAAAAGTCGACGTTGCCTACGTTTCTCTATTTTCCGGTGCGATTTTGTTTTTTTTGATAATGTTAAAAGAAAATATAGGAAAAAACTGTCAAGTTTTGTATTTGAATTTTTTTTCTATTTTGAATAGTAAAGGCTGTAGGTATGGTGCCAAATATAAGCAAATACCCTGTACATATTTATTTGTAAAATTTCAAAATATTCATAGAATAGAGCTATAGCCACAATAAATTGCCTAAATATTAAGCATAATTAAAATTATAAATGCCCTTCGAGACAGCTAGCAGAGTTGAATTGAAAACAAACACAATAATCAATACGATAATACTTTCAAAATCCTGAAATATAAATACAACAATCTAATAGAAATGCTTTTGTAAACGCAGATTTTTCTCAAATAGGTACCGATTTCCTGAGATTATGTGTTGACAGTCCTGTATTAAAAACACTTAAAATTTCAATCCTATTTGAACTTGGTTCATGATTGAAGCCGATTTGAGAAGAGATTCCTTTTCCTGCTCGTTGAGCTGTTCTTTGACGATATAGGAAACGCCGCTTTCGCCTAGGACAGCGGGAACGGATAGGAATACGTCTTGGTCGATTCCGTGCATATCCTAGAATTGAAAATTGGACTATACTTAATCATTGTCTCTATGGAGCACGAGATTATTTAATATTTTCTAGAAAACAACGAGAATGAATAATGAGGAAAAGCTAAAAACACACACAAATATTATTAGAACAAATTTATTATGATAAAATTGGTATATAGCTATAAAAAATAATGCATTTACAGGGAATAATCTTCAGCGGTGTGGACCTCTATTCTCGAAACCGAGGAACAGCGTTCTCATGAGAACGATTGCTCTCTGTCTTTTTCCGTGTTATGGAAATATGATATGGACGACGAAGACAGTGAACATTCTTTCTCATGAGAACGCTGCTTCTCTGATTCGAGAATAAGGACCCCACCTCCTAATGATCAGATCATAAGTTGAGCTAGCTATAGAGCTATAATTATAACATAGAAATTAGCGTTAGTAGTTAGTAGAATTAAATTAACACACATCACAATAATCTTTAAAAAAATAATAATAAAAATAGTAAAACTTAAAATAGGAATATGGCGTAAATAATAATAATTGGGCTAACTTAAAAGCCTGAATGTTCCCTGAGATATTTTATAATTTATCTGGACGCTTTATTAAATGCACATTATCTTATAAATCCAATCAATACAATTTTACAGTCTTGTCACTAAAATTCCAATTTGTTCTGTACTACAGACATCTTGGTAGCTGAACTTTGGAGACTGAATATTTCGTCTTTGGACAAGGTCTGAGTGACTGTGTGTGAAATTCCATGGGTACCGATCACTGCTGGCACTGACAGATAAACTTCTTCTTGCACTCCGTGCATGCCCTGAAGGAAAAATATGGATTTTACAGAATTTGGAAACCCGGCTGAATATTTATGAATAAATTTAGGACAATTAGTGCTGGATTGGACTGATCTCAATATTCTTGAGTTTGAGTTTGTTGTGGTGTTCGGCCAAGGGTGCACATATTCAATAGCAAAATTTAGGCGGATTTTTATTTAAATCACAAGAGTACTTTGTACGTTAAGATGGATTTTGATAAATAACTATGTTTCAAATTGGGCAAGTTTTGCTAATACCTATATACAGTGTGATTTTTTAAGTGTGCAACATATGGGGATTTTTTTTAGTAATAGCACAACCCAAATACAAACAAGGCCAAAACTTGTGTCGGTACTTTTGCTCCCATTTGACAGTCGTTAAAAATAATCAGAGCTTTGAATGTGCTCTAACCACATCATACTTATAGACCTTGGCCCATGCAAAACTTTGACGACGTATCAAATTCGTTAATCGAGAGCAAAAGTATCGGCCCTAAGGTATTTTTTGAGCCACCCTGTATGCTGTTTGACTTGCAACCATTCTAAGTGCACCTAATATGATTATCAGACATGCATCAACTTTTGGCCTTATTTGTATTTTGATTGTGCTATTACTAAAAAAAAATCCCATATGTTGCACACTTAAGTAATGACACTGTATATAATACCTACTCTAAAGTAAAACATAAAAACGAATAAACAAAAATAAAACAAGCGTTAGGAACAAACTCTACAAGACCAGTTAGCAAACAGAATACTTTACCTTTACATAAGTGGAAACAGCATGAACATTATTCGAGTTCCTCAAAATGCTCGAAGCCAAAGAAGCCACACTCAAACCAATAGCCCACGAAGTATAACCTTTCAGCCTGATAACATCGTAGGCGGAATTGATCACTTGCTTGTGGATATCCTTCCAGTTTTCAGTATCTTGCTCTGTGCCGATCGCAGGGTTGATTTCCCTTAGGCGCACACCGGCCACATTCACACCAGACCAAATAGCAACGCTAGAATCTCCATGTTCGCCGATAATCCAACCGTGAACGCTGCCAGGAGCCACGCCGAGTTTTTGCGAAACCAAAAACCGAAATCTGGAAGTGTCTAGGTTGGTGCCTGAACCGATGACGCGGTGTTTGGGTAGACCGCTCAGTTTCCAGGCCACGTAGGTGAGAATGTCCACTGGGTTACTGACTACCAGCAAAATGGTGTCTGGCGAATACTCGACCAGTTTGGGTATGATGTTTTTGAGGACGTCCGTGTTGCGTTGGACTAGGTCCAGACGAGATTCGCCTTCTTTCTGTCTCACACCTGAAATACAATATATATTAGAAAATTGTTGTGCTAGCAAGAGATTGGGTCTCACCTGCAGTAATGATGCACAGCTTCGATCCAGCAGTGATAGCATAATCAGTACTAGCAAGGATTTTAGCGTTTTTGAGAAACAAAGCGCCGTGCTGGAGATCCATCATTTCGCCTTTGAGTTTATCAGCCATCACATCCACCAGGACGACTTCGCTTGAGACGCCCTATATAAAAATTATTACAAATTGATTTTCAGTTGAGTAATTTTTTACCTGGGATAAAATACTGAACGCACAAGCCATTCCCACTTGTCCTACACCGACAACTGTCACTTTGTTGCCGGAATCTTCGGCTGGTTGCGAGATCATGGACAAAAGGGCTTTTTTCGTGTCGACCATTTTTACGTCTTTTCGGATCCTGGAATTTCAAAAAACTTATTTGGACAAGTTAATACTGTAGTGGTTCACTAATTAATAATCAATTTGAATAAAAAGATGGATGTTGGATACTGGATACTAGAAACTATTGAAGTTATTTGTGCACGTTTTGATTTGCAATATATGTTATAAGGTATGTTATAATATATAGAGAAGAAGAATTCAGAAATTTAAAAATTCTATAAGTACTCACATGATAAAGGATTTATTGAACAACACTTGTAAATGTTCCTTCTCTGATAGAAAATTGAAATGAGCAGGGATTAAGAAATTATTTCATGAATTTGTAGAATAATTGCAAGTATTATTGATAAAATATTCTATAAATAAATAATAAATATGTATATGCAAATTAGAAGATGATATGAAACTCACAACTAAAGTTGGATACTTTTTACTCATTAATACCTGAAAAAATTATAAAATTTCTGTAAAATCGCTTTTGAAGATTCCTGAAAAATACTGTGACACATCCCAGCAATTTGAAACTTTCAGGATTCATTAATTAGAGTTTTGTCATAGATACAAAACAAACAAATTGGAAGTTGATATGAAACTCACAACTAAAGTTACGATAGTTTTTACTCATTAATACCTGAAAAACACATAAAATTTCTGTAAAATCATCTTTGAAGATTCCTGAAAACTACTTTGACACTTCCCAGCAATTTGAAACTTTCAGAATTTATTAATTAGAGTTTTGTCATGATACAAAACAAACAAATTGGAAGTTGATATGAAAATCACAACCAAAGTTGCGATAGTTTTTACTTATTGATACCTGAAAAACTCATAAAATTTGTTATGTTACAGAATTATTTGGAAAATGATCTGAAACTTGTACTGAGAATTAGTGTCCAATAGATTTTCCAATCTTCCAGATCATGTTTTTGATGTACAACGCTTTGAAAAGGCAAGGCACTTGTGACTTGAAGAAGAAGAATTATTTGTAAAAAATTCACGCTACTGATAGGTACTAACTCTATAGAAAAAAAACATTTTTACAAACAATTACCAAAATTATAGAAGAAAAAAAGAAAAATGAACAACTTTTTTCTGCTGTAAGTAACTTTTTATGAGTTCTAATAATTGAATAATTATGCGTTTTAGCATCTCTATGGGTATGGAGATGTGCTGTAACTTGAAATATCTTTACAAATAAATCCAGAAAAAAAATAAAAATAAAAATACATAAATAAACATTAATTTATTAGAAAATATAATTTATTATTTAAATAAAATTTGAAATTAAAAAAAATAAAATATATTTTTATGCTATATTTACTGAGTAGAACACTTACGTTTTTTGTTTTAGAACTACACTCTTCCTCAAAATCTTATACTCAAAATTCGCACAAAAACCCGGTCGCGCTGAAAAACCTAAATCCCGAATCCTATTCAAACTGAGCCAAGGTGACCTTACGGGGTTTCATATAAAAGGCAGGAAGATAGAGAGATCAAATCCGGGCGCATGCCTGAGTTCAACGTGCTAGAAAAAGAGAGACCAATTTTCATGGAATGAATGAAATTTACAAGGAATATAGTAATTTCTTTCAGCAGGAGGGGCCAGGAATTGGGTGCGCTGTTGTCAAATTCTGTATTCTACCGGAAAAGACTATACATTTTTTATTTCCTGCGAGATATGTTCCTTACACCTTTGGAAAAAATTCATATACCTAGGTATGTATTTTAGATTTGTCAAAGGTATTTGAAAAACATTCAAAAGTGTATTAGAAGTAAGAATTGTATTATTAATATTGCCCAATGTAATATAGAAAAGTCATATTATGTATTTTAGATTGAGGCAATTGTATTTCAAAAAGACCATATGAATTTTAGAAACAATTATTTGAATTTAAGAAACGATATATTGAACTTTAGATTATAATGTATTAATACTCACATTACTCACAGAGATAGACATCTCTTGTCGCAAATTTGGCATAAGTAGGGAAATTTTAAAGAAATCAGCCAGTATGGTACCTATGTAGATGTAGAGAAATACTATAAAATTCCAAACTACGATCGAAGCTTTCTTAAATTCATATGGTTTGATCTAAAATACACATGGATGCTTTGTAAAATATAATTATATTCATTCCATTATTTCTTGAATACAAATATATGTCTATCCTAAAATACAATATTGAAAGTTTCTAAAATGGGTACTTTTCTAAAAGGTGTAGTGACAACGCTGCAACTTGCGCTTGTGACAAAACGCACGCACGCAAACCCATGATATATGACCAATACCAAAGTTTACACAATAATGAGCAATGACCAGTTGCACTTTCCTTCCATTACCGTTGAGGTTGAGGTCCTTTCGCCGGCAAACAAAAATTATTTCGTCATGTTCGCACATGTTTCCGACATATTGTGCAATGACCTTTTTTCTAGAAATCTTAAGCAAAAATTATCTCATTAGGTATTGATTCAATAAGCATTAGGACAAGTTCATATTATCATGGAGGGATCAATACAAAATTCAATCGTCAGGAATATGAAATTATACTTCCTAGTTTCAATTAATGCATCTAGCGATATTTTATTTGCTTTTTTCATAAGCTATTCACCACAGCAAGTTAACTTTCTGTGTATTTACTACAACATAAAATTCGGTATGAAATTTTGCGTAATCGTGTTTTTCTCGAAAGGGTTGAAATTTTATAAGTATTCATTTGCAATTTGGTAGAAGCACTAGAAGCAGATTAAAGCCCATATTATAGAGGTATAAAATTCCAAAAGGTAGAAGATTTCCTTATAGTGAAAACGTTATAATGATTGTATTTGGCTCAAAGATGGCGACATCATCTGTACGTGAAACTGAATTATTTTTATTTAAAGATGAAAAGTTGCTGAAAAAGGGATGAAGATTTCAACTTTTTTTAAAATGGGTGTGGGGCTTATTTCATGTTATTTATTCTATCCTATAGAAGACTGACATGAAGAAAGCAAAATTTCATGAAATTCACTGGACCATGCCAAATTATCTTCTCCCAAAAAAAAAAAAAATAAAGTAACGAATCGATGATTATCGCAAACCACCGATAACGGTAACGTGTTGAAAAATGCTACATTAAAATTCAGTGACGCAATAAATTTGCACCGGGACGAAATTAAGATAGCGATAATAAATAAGCACGCCGGGCAAGGTGCGAAATTTATTTTTGCCTTGTAAAAAATGTTATCACCATCGACCCACCATGAGTGCCACGTAATATTTTAAGCGATAAATTGGCGTTTAACCTAAGCGTAGGTTGGTTACCTTTTAAATTATTACACAATGTTACAGTCAAAATTTAAGGGCTACCTATATTGAATTGAATTCCCCAAAGTCCGAACATCTTAAAGTTAACTCATCATAGGAAACGCTTAACTCCTATCAAACATTTAATTTAAATCCAGTGCAAAAATATAATCGTTCAAGCATAATTATCAGCCCTAAGCCTAAGGGTCGGTTTCTGAATAGCAAAGCAAGTCACCCCCGGGTTAAGTATAACTCCAGGATAATCATTGCAACTGGACTCTGGAGTTAAAACCAACCCGGAGGTGACTCACTATTGAGAAACCGGCCCTAAAATAAGACAGAACTCTGCCCACCAGTAAACAACTTTCAAATAAAAATTCCAAACCGATAATCTAATTAAATATTTATAAATTCTGGTGGTCGCGCTGGCAAACATGGCGTGACGAGTCTACCCAGATCCATTAGAGGCGTTTTCATTTACATTTCAGTCTATAACGTGTTTTTTTGAGCTATCTGGATGTATTTGAATGGAAGCGCGCCAGTGGTGAATAATGCTAAACTGATATGGAACCCGAACAACTGACGATTTATTTTCTTTATGACATTGAACGGTTCGTAAGTAGGTACTAAATTTCAGCTCATTTGGACTTATAGTTCGAGAAATCAAATAGTGTTGAGTAATTTGGGGTGATATACCTAGGTATCAATTTTTCAATTTTTCTGAGTGCCTTTTTTCATAGATTTTGGCTTCAAATCTGGGAATAATTTTATGTATGGAGTTCGGGGTATGTTTATTGACCATTAGGATACAAAATCTCGACAAAAAAAATTTTGAAATTTCATCGTTTTAGTAAGAAGGTAGGTACCCCCTTATGATTTTTTTGGAAAGCTTTGAAAGGTCATAACTTTTTTTCTATTATAGATAGAAAGCTGAATCTTTCACTGAATTTTATCTTTTTCAAAGGACTACAATCCCTGAAAATTTCAGCTCATTTGCACTTTCTGTTTCTGAGATAAAATCTTGTTAAGTAATTGGGGTGATTTATCAATTTTTCAATTTTTCTGATTGCCTTTTTTCATAGATTTCGGCTTCACATCTGAGAATAATTTCGTGTATGGAGTTTGGAGTATGTTGATTGACCATAATTTTTCTGAGTGCCTTTTTTCATAGAATCCGGCTCCAAATCTCAGAATAATTTAGTGTATGGAGTGTGGGGGATCTCAAAGGAGGTCTATAAACCTAGCAGTCCCAAGGTGGAAAAAAACTTCCAGAACTATATAATAATTAGGTGCTTTATAGGTGCTAATTAGGGCCTCTAATTAAAAATTAGGTGCTCTTAGTAAAAGCTAGCTGTCTCCTATAGTAAAAAATATTTTTTCAAATTTTTTCTTTGTATCAGAATTAGGCGCTTTTTAGGTGCTCCTAAATAGTCGAAGAAGGGGACTACTAGTTTTCATAAACCTAGCAATCCCTTAGTTTTTTTTGATTTTCTCAAAAACAAGAGGAGCACCTAATTTTTAATTAGAGCCCCTAATTAGCACCTAAAAAGCACCTAATTATTATATAGATCTCGAAGTTTTTTCCAGTGGCGGCTCGTCAGAGGAGGCAGGGGAGGCTAAGCCTCCCCCAAAAAATTGAAAATTCAATCTCAGTTTTTTATTCCTAATTTCTAATTAAAATAATAATTCACAAATTACACTTTTCCAAATTTCGATATTTCAATGTAATTTAGAAAAATTTGACAACATTATTTCAATCAATCTCGCGCCTCCACGACAAAAATCTGTGAATCTGGGATACTCAGTAATACCGGCCCGAAGGGCCGGAGTTATATGCGAGCCCGAAGGGCCGGAGTCATATGCGAGCCCGAAGGGCCGGAGTCATATGCGAGCCCGAAGGGCCGGAGTCATATGCGAGCCCGAAGGGCCGGAGTAATACAAGCTCGAAGGGCTAGAGTGATACGTGAGCCCGAAGGGTCGGAGTTATACGCGAGCCCGAAGGGCTAGAGTTATTTTAATCTCGGGGCCCCCCAGTCTATAATTCTATTGGTCAGCGGATAATTTGGAGCCAATCAAAAATCGGAAATATTCAAAATAAAATCATTAACATTCCTGAAAAATATTTCCTTGAAAATTCCCAAATATTTTTTGGAATCCCCAAAAATCTGTTAAAGTCTCACAATTTCATAATTTAGTGGAATTTCCAGGAATTTCGGAAGAATAATTATGTTATTCTGAAAAAGGAATTAGATGTGAAATTTTTGCGGAGTTTCCATAGAATTCACATTAAATTTCAATTCATCTCGAATTATTTGAAATTTCAGTGAAATTCCGATCGAATTACACGAAATCCTAAATGAATTACATGGAGGAATTTTAAATAATTATATGAAATTACACCGAAATTCCCAACATGAAATTTCAGTTCTTACTGAATTTTAGTAATGCCGAAGAATTTCCAACTAAAAACGTAGAATTTCGGTGATATTCCGAAAAATTCCCATGTAACGACATGAAATTTCAATATATTTTGGTGAATTTTTAAGAAATTACTTGAAGCTTCATTAATATTCCCAGAAATTCCTAACAAAAGAGAATTTCAGTGAAATTCCGAAAAATTCTTATGAAAATAAATTAAAGTTTGAAAAATTCCTTGAAGTTTCATTGGACTTTCGAGAAATTTTCGGCTATGAACGTAGATATTCTCATAAAATTTTAGTAAATTCCGAGGAATTTTTAAGAAATTACATGAAATGTCAATGAAATTCCGAAGAATTTTTGTGGAATTCCAGGATTTCAGTGGTAAAATTTTGAGGAATTTTAGTAAAGTTAAAAAAAAAAATATGGAATTTTGAAATTGAAATCTTAGTGGAATTCCGAGGAATTTCATGAAATCCTATATGTACTGTAATTCCAAAAAAAATTTGTCCAAGAATTCCATAAAATCTTTAAAATGTTAAGGTATTTCTATGGAACTACTTAAAATTTTCGCGGAATTCCCATGGAATAACTTAAAATTTTAGTGAAATTCCAAAGAATTTTGATGAAATCTTCGAGAGGTTAATCATTCCCCGAAATCGTGTCACAAATTTGTCCGAAATCGACGAAATCACTCCGAAATCCCTCCGGAATCTTTCAGAAAATCTTTCCGTAAACCCAAAAATTCTTCGTAATTGGCTCAATATTCATAAATCGGTCAACGCGGCCGTTTTTCAGTTTATACTAATACACTTATAAGATAATA